TCTAGAAGCTTCCTAACAATTTCCAAGCACGCGGAATAATTCCATAAGGCTTTCATCAATATCATGATAGTTGGTTGAGCCTCATATCACAACAGTAACCAAGGCACTGGCTCGTTGTAATACCGTTTACAGAAGTTGAACACCACACGTTTTCGTGTCTCCAGAAGGTGGTGAGAGACGGTGCTGTCAAGGACAGGCTCATCGAGTGATAGGTCTATCTCTTGTTGGACAGGGTCAACCCAATTACATAGTTCTTGTATCGGATTACGTACGCCGTCCGGGTCAGGTGCGTAAAAGACCTCGTTATCCATAGAACATGCCCAGGAAGCGTCCTGGGTGTCGATAAAATTCCAATCAGCTAATGCTGAGGCCCAAATGAATCCACCGAACGTGATATCTCTTGAGACACTATCGAAGGTCCAGCCGGTTATGTCCTCCATCGGTTCCTCATTCGTTAGGTCGACAGCTTCTGCAGCAGCCCTCGACGATGAACCAATAGTTGGCTTTTCTGGACGTCGCCTGGGGGCGTTAGTTCGATTCAATACCTCTTGAGGCCGTGGTGGATCGATCAAGTTCCTAACATGCTCTACCCGGCATGGCTCCCGACGTTGCTGCTGAATAGGCATCTTGGGGTTCGATCGGTATCCTGATCTTACTTTTAAAGGATCTTGTATACGTCTGAGGAGATCAATCGGGGGTAATTGATTTATTCGATCAAGTCTCCATTGTTCATGGAAGTCGTTAATCTGCAGAGACCGACCGTTTGAACGTCTTTCAGCACAGGTATGGAAGTCCCATTGTCTGGGTAAACGTATTGGTACAGATACCAATACTAGTGGAATCCCGCGTCTTAATGAAGTTGATATGCTCAACTATCTGCACCATAGCAAATGTGCTGATTACCTCATGAAGATTATCGAACAAGGGGTTCAGGCGTAGTTTTAAATCGATTCGAACTCTGTCGCGAGCCACCTCGTGCAAAATCCTATCGTTAAGGCGCTCAAGATAGCCTTGAAAGAGCCTGACCACTTGTCGAATATGAAGCTTGTTGTGTGGTAGGTCCGCTTTAATAGCCTTGTGTGCGGATTCAGCTCGGGATGTAGTGGCGTTCCCAAAGTGTCGAATCCGACTTGTCCAAGCCTCACAAAAGTGCCATTTATGCGTCATCCAAGTGTTTGTAAGGTAGTTCACGGCTTCTTGGTTGTACTGTGAATGTTTCGTACAGAGATCATTCCATCTAGCCTCACAGTGGAGAGGAGTTATTGCTCTAACAACCTTGTTCCAATCACACTTCAGCTCATTCCATCGAGTCTCGACATAGATCTTTCGGTCTACCATGTTCGGTACAGTACCGGTTCTTGGGTATAAACCTCTTTCAACCACAGTTGCTTGCAGTGAGCCTCAATGTCCCTGTTAATATGCCAGATACATAGGAGATGCGGCACACTGTTCCACACAGCCTGGAGGGCAGAGATTAGTCCTCCAGCCTTATCAGTACTTATACTACATGGGTCAGGCAGATCCGTATTCCTGTAGTAGTCTCTTAACCACCGAACAACAAATGCATAGGCTTCTGTACTCTCATTGCCGAGAAATGCCTGTCCAATGATAAAAGAAGTATTCAAGGCCGTGACGCCAACTAGCTGGCAGAGATACATATTGAACCTATTTGTTTTATAGGTACAGTACAGTATGAAACTCTGATAGATCTGTTCATTTAATGGTACCACAGGTCTGTACCCAACGGTACCATCTCTTCCATTCCTAGAGCAACAGCCTCTACGTATGGCTTCTTTATGGGATATGAGACTATTTCGGCAACAGACTGGTAATGGCCGAGGACAACGGGGCGAGGCTCGCCAGGTGTCTTTCTTTCGCTCGATTGTCACCGCCCTCTTACTTCGAATTTTGCACATCATGAATCGTCTGGTACTCTTCCAGCGTCGAAGGCCTCTAGAACCCGAGAAAGCGCCCTACACTTCCCTGCAAATCGCTAAGGATCTCAAACCTGAACACCCCGTAACGCTCGTTCACCCTCACCAAACGGCGCGAGACGTTCGATCCTTCGTCGCGGGTTTTCAAGGCCACACAATGTATGCTGTCAAAGCCAATGACAGCTCCGATTTACTGGACATTCTCTGGAACAACGGCGTCACTTGGTTTGACGTAGCCTCCATTAATGAGGTACGACTGGTATCACAACGCCTGCCAGAGGCAACGCTGTGCTTCATGAATCCGGTCAAAAGCGCGGAAGCCATCCGTGAAGCCTACTTCGTGCATGGTGTCCGCTCTTTCAGTTTAGACTCTGGCAACGAATTGGACAAGATTCTCCGGTCAACTGCCACAGCCACCCGCCGTGCGGCTGACTTGAACATATTTGTTCGATTGCAGGTTGCATCACGACATGCTAAACTAAGCCTCGAGTCTAAGTTCGGTATTTCCGGGAACGAGGCCCAACAGCTACTTCAGGCAGTGCGGAAGTCGAGGAACAAGACTGGAATTTGTTTTCATGTCGGCAGCCAGGTGATGGGCTCGGGAGACTTTGCAGGAGGGCTCCAACAGGCGCACGTCTTGTTGTTGGAGGCTGGGATTCTAGTCGACTTCGTCAGTGTCGGTGGTGGGTTTGGCGTCAAGTACCCGGGCATGGATCCCCCTTCTCCGTCCGAGCACCTGGAGGAGATATACCGTGCTTTCCACAGCTTGAAATTTCCTTCGACAACTGTGCTTCTCGCCGAGCCAGGCAGATGTCTTGCAGCGTGGCATCATTCAATGCTCCTGCGCATTGAGGAACGCCGTGGATCCTCTCTATACCTCAACGACGGTGTATACGGTACACTCTCGGATGCTGGACACCTCAATTGGTCTTACTTTACTCGACTGCTCCGCGACCCACCGTCTATGGAGGGAAATATACCATTCACACTCTATGGGCCGACGTGTGATGCGCTAGACAAGTTCGGTCCATGGGATATTCCCGCGGATGCGAAAGCAGGTGATTATCTGGAGATCTTCGGGCTAGGAGCTTACGGAAGTGTCATGAGAACGCGATTCAATGGTTGTGATACCTATGAGAGTAGAGTGGCACAGGATGAACCGATCGATCTGGTAATAGAGAGGTACTATCAAAGCCGCTGAGTCAATAATTGTGCCTTCAGATATGAGGATTACTTTACAACACTCTAAAGGAGAGCTACGAATAGACTTCTAGTTGGAGTTCTCTGTAACGAGTTCCCAAAACATCGCCAAAGGCCATCGTGACTAGCGTGAGACCAGACTGATGGCAAAACTATAGTCACTCAAATACATGTATTGTCCATAACGCGATGAGTCTAGTGCGAATCTAAAACGTCATGAGAGCGAGAATAGAAGGGTTTTAATACCTAGCTATTTATTGCACCGGCCACAGGACCGTATATTTTCTAGTGACAAAGGAAAATTTTCAAATGAATGTGGGTTATAATCTCCGGTGTTTCGCAACCGATTCCTGTTTAAGCACAGGCTCGTCCCTTCTGACGACGCTATATCCACTCGATTGGCGCTGCTAGGTTCTTTCTGTAGCATTCGACCCTTCGATGAATATCCGTGAGTGTTGGGTGAGTATGTCGCCATCTAGGAGGTTTAGGCAATGGTCCTGTAGGTGGAGGCCCAGGCAAGGGTGGATGTTGTTCCTCAGCCATCTTTGGAATTCAATAAACCTGGCGACTATGAGAAGGAGGGTTGGAAGGGGCCACGGAGAACTTACTGTTTGCTGTTTTTCGGTGGGTGTAGCTTGTTTTAGCAGGTGCAGTATTACTCGAGAAGTGTGAGTGATGTTCGCAGAGTGAGTGAGGAATTGTTGGGTAACAAAACAGGCTATGGCAGTTTCCAGGTTTTGAGTGGGTTATGAAACTCTCTGCAATTTCGGGCGCCACCCAGACCAGCAACTTTATACATTCCATTTCTATGCGTATCAAATACGTATGTACTATAATGAACAGATGGTATAAGTGAAGGCTGATTAATAATGGGCGAGACACCATCCGTCAATCGTTGGGGTCTCACTGGAGGCGACTAGGGCTTTTCCCCATGGCTCGACTCCCAAATTGCGCAACATGTCCCTTCTGAATTACGTAGCAATGGTCATTGGTTCTACTCCTAGCTCAAGAGATCCTTGTAAGGTCAGCAGATTATCAAATACGAGCGTCGTGGACACAGTCGACATGCATGGTGCGAAAGTTAGGGAAACATAGGTGAGGTGAGGAATTCCAGATGTGGACAAAGACAGATCCCCCTTCGCTGAAGACTCGGAATCCCAATTCCCACTGCTTATCTTACATAGCGGAAAGAAGATAAAGGTGACATATGGGGCGCAAAGTGCGTAGCTCGCTATGCACTTACATTATACCCCAAACAATTTGGGACACATTTTTTCTCCACCATGGTCTAAGCTATCTATATAGAGGTAGGCGTGACCAGGATCTAATAGCGGTTAGGGACGTACTCAAGCATGTCAGCCCAAACAGACAGTATCCTTCCTTACTTCACCAGAACCCTAACTCCTTGAGATCCAAGCCTAGCATTTGCCGTAACAAGGTCATGTTCAATGGCCACGTCCTCGATCGTTGTCTGGAAAAGTTCAAAGTCGAGCCGCCGAATCAGCGTGGCTAACACAATCCGGAGCTCCGTGTAAGCAAGACTAGTGATTAGGGGAAGTTAGCTGCATACGCACGTCTGGCAATTGGGGACAGAACTAACGTGATCCCAGCACACTGCCTGGACCCCTTGGAGAAGCTCAGGAGGTATTCATCCAACTGCGGATTCTCAATCCAGCGTTCGGGGATGAAATCGTGTGGCTCGTAGAAGAGCTCGGAGTTTTTATGGACGAGGATGCTCGTCATACCTACTGGTGTCCCAGAAGGAATCGTCCAGTGTCCGATGTTCATCGGGTGAGTCGGAGAAATGCGCTGCAGCCGAGAGCCCACACCAACGCCCAGCCGAAGGCCTTCCTGGATGACGGCGTTGTACTAAGATGGTTAATCCTTAAATATGTAGAGCAGAAGATTAGTACTTATCAGATATGGGAGGCGATCCAAGACGGCAATAGTCGGCAGGGTCGAGATATCAAGAAACGCAACCACCAGCTCTTGCTTTAACTTATTGTAGGCGCGAGGATTGTCGATCAGGTAAAACATCGTCGTTGAGAGAACTGGTCATCATGGTTAGAAGCTTACGAGGAGGGAAGGATAAGGTCCCGAGGCCTTACTCAAAGCGGTGGTCTCTGTCCCGGCCCCGATGACCAGAAATCCCTCTTGCCATAGTCTAGTAGGGAGTTTCTCGCTCGCGGGCGCATTTATGCTGAGAAGCGCATGGAATATTGTCGGATGGTGTTTGTTTCTAAAGTTCTGATTTTTACCCGTCGCGAGGGCTTCTACTTGGGCCTTGACGTCCTGCGGCGAGAGGAGTGAGCGAAAGAGTACTAGCACAGTCCATAGGCTCAGAAGGAGGTTACCTTGCGCATTTGGAGTAGCCGGGCCACCCGTGGGTCGACCCATTCGACGACGGTGCTGCTATCATCAGTCCATCTTCACCGAAACTGAAGAAACTTAAAGTACAATGGCAAAAGATCCATGATACCTAGAATCCAAGGGAAATGCTTAACGTAGTGGACCGAAACCATCAGGCCCTGAAGGGAAAGGCGAAGATTCGGGAGGAAATTAGGGTTTTGTAGGAAGTCGTAACTACGAGCAAAAGCGTATTCGGTAATGACATCTGTGGCGAAGCAGCTAAAGGCATCATTTAAGACCACCGGTAGGCCTGTCCCGGAATAGCTACTGAGGCGTAGACAAAGCCTCTCCGCGAGCCCTGTGATGACTGACTCAAGATTGGAGACTGAGCGTTTAGAAAAGAATGGAGATATCGCAGCCCGCCGGCTTCGGTGTAGCTCGTGGGGAACTGTCGTTAAGGACGCCTGCCACCAGCCTGTCAGTTTATAATAAGAGAAGCTGGTTGAGGAGTCCAGACACTAGGGAATCTATCATCCGTATTAGTAACATTGAACGTGATATATCAAGGGGGTTCAACTTCCCCGAACTGTTGTGTGTAAAACTTATACTTATCCCTAGCTTGCCCTGCCCCGACATAGATTTCCCGGATGTATTGTGGATCGTTCACGTGGATCTCATCTGGTCCGATTCGAACTACAGGCCCTGGGTCGGAGAGAGACGTTAATGTCAGCGAATGCCATTAATGTTTCGTGGCCGCACCGTATCTCGAGTGCATCTCAGCGATCTTTCGAAAATATTGGCCTTGCTTAATGGCATCATAGTAGAACTCGAATAGGCCAGAGATTGCGACCTTCTTAGGGCCCGGGAATGACGCGAGAGGGTGGAAGGTCAGACGGTAAAGCCCCTTGCACATCCAATACACTACTAACGATATTAGGAACCCAAGGCACCAGGGATGCTGCATCCTTAGCTTGCGGCTTAAGAAACTTGCCGAGTAAATGCTTACACAGAATAGTGATTTTAGGTGCTACATTCTGATCCTCCTGAGGCAGAATGTACAGGTATCTTATATCTGACCTTAAGTGGGGTAAAAGAATTTTATCGCAAGGTAATCACGGAGATATTAGGCACCGAGGACTAAAACTAACGAATGACTCCTAGGCATTAATAGTATATATTAGGATCAATTAATGCCCTTGCCCTTGCCCTAGTACTGTCAGCTATTTCTCTCGACGGAGCCTATTTCTCGTAAATATGGCGTCTGGACGCCACAATCTCAATTTAGAGTCCCTAGTCTCTCATCAGCATCGAACGCACTTTCTTCCCATTAACTACGCGTATAACTACCTCTCGGGAAAGCATCCTTACCGAAAGGCACCTACAATTGACTTTAAAGCCCCGGTCTACGACGGAAATCACGAAAAGCGGCGACAAAATAGTATTCCTTTATATCCGTGGTTAACGGACATTCCGTGGTATACTGGTCTTAAAGCCCTACGTCAGAACAAGCACTGGAAGGTCAATCTGGAAAGCACTAGCCAATTACTCCATCTCTTTGCCGATGATGCTGGTCTAAATGATCCTCAAAACACAAACAGCACCACACTAGCCGACTTTGCCCGAAAAGAATTGAAAACGCCTTCCCGCGACCGCTATGGCCGGTTCGCCGCGTATATGTTTCCCTACGCCGACGAGGTGAGAACGAAGTACTTAGCACAAGTCCTTCTCCTCATTATTCTCTTTGACGGTACGGTGTATCATGAGACGCTAAATGGCCTGTAACTAACTCTGTGATGGATTTATAACTCTAGATATATGGGAAACTACGGAACTCGGTCATGTAAGTAGCACGCAGAGATCCATTCCCCTTCATCACCTGTTACTGAATTAACATTCTATAGATGAAACGCGTCCAAGATGATTTTATCAGACGGATCGAAGGGAGCGTCCTTAATAGCGTATTCGATAGCCCACTACAAGCACGAATTAGTGAGATATCTCGCGCGTTAAAGAACAACGGTGGGGAGGACGTCGTCGCCGCCCTGACTCGATTTTGTCAGCACTTCCCACCAGTCATAGAGTTCACCGATGTCCAGCAGTACCTAGAGTATCGTTACGCCGATGTTGCTATGCCGTATGTATTTCCTTACCCTACGTGAGCGGTTAATAGCTAAAGCCACTTGAACGCTAGATTCTCATATGCCTGTCTCAAATTCTCTCTCCAGTCTGATGTTGACCTCTCAAGCGCGAAATTAGAAAAAATTCTTCGCCTCATTGGCCACCATCTCTCAATTGCAAATGATCTTGCATCTTACGAGAAGGAGTGGAGAGATTTCAGCAGCGGAAAAATTAGGCATCTCATCAATATCGTGGCTATTGTGCAAAAGATCGACCGCACCGTTTCCGACACGGCGAAGGCCACGTGCTACGGCAGACAGCTCGAGACGGAACGGCTCATTCTGGAAGAGCTGGAGCGCATGAAGAGAGTCGATGAGCTGTCTGTTTCTGAGTGGGAATTTGTAGACGCTGCCTTGGGTATGGCGGCTGGGAATATCTTCACCTCGGTGGTGATATCTCGGTACGGTGGGGAAGCTGCTCGGATCGGCGGGGGGCCTTGTCATGGTATAGGCCTATGATCTATCTATCTGCTATATAGTTGTCTAGAACTTTATATGATCAGAACTAGCACTATAGTATCTTAAGCTTATAGGGGAACATTTATTCGTGAGTCCGCGTCGATTGGTCTGATCAAACTGGCAATTGATTCTCCCTCCCCCAATGAACGCTTCACAGAAAGGTCAATTATTAAGTCTCCTTTGGACATTGAAGGCGGAGATTTACCTCGGGTCTTGCTCAATGCTCTGAGGCAAGGCGAAAATCCCTGTGGTCACGAGTTCCAGGAACTCCAAGTAGAACCCTCACGTATAGCCTCCTATTTGGATAAAAGGATGATTCAGCGGTTGAAACCAGTAATATCTTGGGCCGGGACACACATCCACCGTGTTGTTGCCTACTTGTATAGAACAGTTACGACTTGGTGACCGAAGTTTGTGTCTGGTCTCGCATCAAAGTATTCGAGAATTCATGGCTTAGACATGCAGCAATAGTCAGTGCAGATGAGGTAGTGATTTCCTTGCAGCAAAGGTTACCACGTTGCTGCTCGTCGCAAGGGAAGAGCGAGATAAATCACTTGAACACTGCCTCATACGAAATTCTGGTAGACTCCAATGCGCTAGCTTGGGTGCCGCAGGCCACCCAGTAATAAAGGTTATTCGTCTAATTGCACCTCAGGCGCGCTTCTTCGCTGAAAAGTCTCTATGGAGCCGGAATGATGACGACGTGGAGCAGGTTTGCTCTGTACCACAGACCGCTCGACGCTATGGGGCTCGCGGCCCTCGACCAATGGCAATTCCACAGCTTCACCTACCTTGGGGCCGTGGTGAGTTACGGCACGAAGACGGAAGCGAATCAAATTGGCTAGAAATGCGACCAATTAGCATCACACGCCCAACCTCAGTTCGAGAGCTCTCCTTCCCTGGCCTTTGCGCTGGATGACGGGAATGATGGACGTGATGGGCGGGGTCGGCGAGGAACCTTGAATTCGCCCGCGACGAGCGTCCCTCAAGGACCTCTCGAACAGGAGAACTCAACAGATGTTCCTGGTCTGGTTCGAAAAGAAGCAGCGTGGGGGAAAGGCCCGAGTCTGACTTTCACTTGGCACTGAGGAGGTCTGACTCCGTCCCCTCAGCCGTCTCAAACGAATGGAGGGATAGGCCCGGGCTCAACACGGTCACCAGTGAAGCGAAGAGCGCAGGCAACCTGTTGATGTTGGATGCGAAGACCAGGTGGCCGCAGTTGCTGCCGCATGGACGCCCACTGGCCTTACTGGTACTTGAGGACTTGCCAGATTCAGCACGAAGGGCGACCTCGAGTTCGCCGAACCGGGAAGTGGTCGGGCTGAAGGCCCCCCTCCGGTCAAGGTGAGATCATACATAAATGCGACTGCGAGATCAAAGAGCGGGCATGGATAGGTTGACTTCCCTACTTCGAGATCCAACACCCACGGGATAGCTGAAGAAACGACGAGGGAGCCTTCACCTTACGCACATCAATTGTTGCCTCTAATGAGAACGTTTATCCCCGTGGAGAGGGAGAAATACGAGCGAGGCAAAGTGCCACATGATAACGTGATCATGGGGCTGATCCTTTATTTCCACGTGAATGACGTCACTCAGGAGGGAATATTCAAAAATGTTCAAGCCTTGTATTCAGATTGGAAAAGCGGACGACAGTATACAGTCGTGCAATCCTATCTGCGACGAGCGGACCGGGACCCCGAGTTGAAGAACATCAAGGAACTGATGGTACAAAAAGACACGAAGGGCGCAAAAGAGCGGCTTCAACACTGGCTGGCTGATAAGAAGGTACAGGAGAATATTGAACAGGATTTGAAGAGATTCGAAGGACTTCACGCGACCCGCAGACCATGACAGATTCTCCCACCGGTCGTGCCATCTTTAGCTGATGGAAGAATAACTATTAAGTCGCAGAGCACGACGGGCGGAGTGATGGGACAGACGCAGGTGCAGCAAGTCGCTGATGGGGCCCGTGTCACGGCGCCACGGATATCCATTACGATTAGCTTTGTTGAACACAACGGAGGACGTTAGTGCCGTTTTTCCCGACCATGTCCACAGGTACTTTAGTTACGCAGATGAAAGTCCAATAGTAGGATGGTTATCCAACCTTGAGACGGGGGTCCACCTATCCTCAACAGTGTAAATCCCTGGCAGAGCCGCCCGCGAGGCAGACCTCAACTCGTTAGGGCCCATGCCGAGACGCCTCCCACTCGGGATCAATGACCATTGAAAGGGTAGATAGGATCATCTGGATCCGAGGGACTAACCGCCTTGAACGCGATTGGTGGCTTATCGTGTCCAAGATTAACGGACACGCCTTCCTCGTCATTCCAAGTAGGTAGTCTTCCCTTGAGCGTGCAGGTTGCTTAAGCGCCGGCCGAGAGGGCCGTCCTGCGGGCATCGTGATGGCCTCGCAATGGCCCGTGGGATTGCACATCACTTTCCCAATTGATTCACGCGCCATTTATCGACGAGTCGGGGGCAGATTGGACCGCCTCGCACTGGGTCAAATGTAATCAGTGTGATCACTACAGGAGCGCCAGGGTCGAACAATCCTCCACACAATCGACTCTGAGGAACCTGGTGAGTGGGTGGGATGGCGTCATTACAGTAAAACTGTTCAATATGTATGGCAAGGTGATTTATATCGACTGCCGTTCCTGTGCCCGCCCCACTCAATGAGGACGCTCCGTGATGCACGCCATAGAGACACTCACAAACTAACAACGTCCGCAGCAAGTTGACCGACGAATAGCAGCCGAACTTTTATGGTCCAATCGGCTTCGCGATGACTTGCTCCATGCGCCATTCTCAAAAGGGCTTAGAGGGATAGATATTCAGTGCCTGTCCAATCACAATGGGGTTTGTGTGTCATCACGTGACGTTACTTTGATCGAGCGAGTGTCAAGACCAATCCCAGCCGCGGTGATGACTAATTTACCAAGTTCCTGTCGTGGCGTCTTGGCAACATTAGACGTCCGTCCTGGGCTCCTGAGGCCTCGCTACATCTTTTCCTTCGATGTCACAACGTGCAGGCCAAACGGGGTTTACCCGTTTGGGAGGAGGGGCGAAACCCTCAATACTGGCTCTTGAGGGTCTGAAAGAAGAACTGTTCATTCAAATCGCATTACATACTCGTACGGTATTGGAAAAAGGGGTCACCAGGCCGCTGTTACATGGACTCACGTGAGGCTTGGCATGGGCTCGCAGCCTAGAAGCAATCTGCTCGTGTTGATTCCCCCAAGCGCACGAAACGCAGGGGTCACGATTCCCAGAGTCCCGCCGTTCCGGGCGCTACTGCACTGTATCACGAGCTATGACAGAATTTTGTATTAAGTCATGGCAGGTTGCGTGCCAAGGCTGGAATTCCACGCTGGTGAGCGAGGTCTACAGCTCGATGGTAGATCCTTCGATCTCGAGGATCTTGGCCTTGGCCATGTCCAGATTATAGACCATTTCCATCTCTTCGGGGCTGATCTGGTAGGAGAAGTGTCGATCGCCATGGGTATCATGATGGCTTTGAGGAATCAGTTGATGGTGTCAGGGACAGCAGGGAAATTTCACATCTGGAGACGAATCTCGCTCGTCCGGTAACAGGACAGCCTCAAATGGTTGGCAAGCAGCTGGTTTGCTCCTCGAGTAATCCGCACTATGATCCGTGGTTGTGGGCGGTGTGTTCGTCAGCCCTGCACCTGAACAAAGTCGAATTCCTCACGATGGCTCTGCCAAGGACTTCAAAGGAATAAAACTGAAAGGAATAAGACTGATACTCATCCAACATCCAGGGGCTTGGCATGTACGGGCTCCTTCGACTCGGCGTGTCGGTGGGACCTGAAACACTCGCTGATGGCTTGATCTCGAATTCGACGGGCGTTGGGCTAATATTTTGCATCTCACTGCGCTGGCAAAGCCACAGTCGCACACGCTCCAGGCTGTCAGCCGATGACGACCGCAAGCAACATCCGCTGTTCGCTCAACAATTCCTCTTCTGGCGGGTGGCTGAGCTAGATAACCTTGTCCCGCACAAGGTTGGCAGGTCGAGCAATTAGATATTCCAACGAGGTTCTGGGTGACCATATCCACCCATTCGAGAATATCGCATCCTCCTCGCCAGTGTCGATTGTACTCTGCCAGGAGGAACGGGAAACTATGGGAGCACCATCCCCCCCGTATCGAGTCGTATAGTCAGAGGCTTAGGTTTTATACCATATCATCTCTCAGCCTTGTCAACCGCGGCGACGGTTCTGTCGGTCGTGCTCGCGAGTAGAACTCAACCGCGATCTTGTGCTGGGGTGCATTTTCTCTCTCTCCGGCGGCTACCGCATCCTTCACGCCGGTCTCGAGATGTGGGCGCCGAGCTCCATGCTCCACAAAGGGTTCTGCTAAACTAATCGAGCTATGTGGTCCAGGGCGATAACAAAGACTGTGAAGGCACGCTCTGGTGTGCGATCAGAGAAACAACGACCGTCTCACAAATTCCCCATGCCTTGGCCCTTTCCACCCCATCGAGTTTTCTTTCTCGAACGACATGTCCACGCCGCCCTCTCCCCCTCTACCACTGGCGTCCGTCAATGATACCCAGACACTTTACCGGAGCCTTCGGTCACTTATAAACCGTAACCTCTCCCTCTTTTCGAACCGCGACCGCACCATGACCGGGTAATACTCATCTGGCCAACCACCATCCCGTCGCCCACACGAAAACTCCCGCCGCACCGGTCGTCAGCATGGACGCCCGTGCCGCAGGGTTCGCCCAGGACAGCAGACTCTGCACTTCCATCGGAGGGCGGGGGCTGGCTCGAGTGTCCGTGGCCAGCGGCGCCTGCGTCAGCCAGCTCCAGTTCCCAGCGGACGCAGAATTGCAGGCCAAGGTTCCGTTTGTCGTGTTCCAGGGTGCCAAACCTTGCGTCGAGTTGGTTCCATTTCGAAAAGGCGGCCAGGCGGCTAAAGTGCAGACGGCGGAATAGCCGGTCGTGGAATTTCCTGCGGCGGATGAT